AACCCCCCCCCCCCCCTGTTGATGTGTTAACAAGGGTCTAGTGAACACAGACCTTTACCATTCTTATCCACCCCCCACCCCCATAAGGAAAATGCTGCTGAGCTCTCCTGCTATATGTACATGTATTGTACTTCTCCATGTCTACTTTCAAAATAGTCCTGCCTACATGTACAGTGTACTGTATATGTACATGTTCCAATAATTTGTAAACTTTTCATGTAATCAATGCTTTCTTCATTGTAATAGGTTTTTTTTACAATTTTATCACAAATTCACAAAGGAATACACCTATATATTACAGGTTCATGTATGGGGGTTGCTACAGGTTCTAGTATGACATGTGAAGTAACTGACAGCATTGGCAACAATCAAACATCATTACAATTCACTTAACATTTTTAGAGATATTTTTTTTGAAGGGCACTTCCTTTCTTCATGGGGGGCTCTAATTTTGGGGGCTCTAATTTTTAGGGCTACACACCCCTTTCACCATTCAGGCTATATTTCCACTCTCTTACAAAACTTGTGAAATTGATTGAAAATAACCAAAGTGTAAATTCACACTGCAAAACTGACTCCACCCAGACTCCAAACCGACCGATATCCTGCCATTGGGGGTAATGTACATGTAATTTTTTGTTTGGTCAACTGTCCGTTTTGTTGGTGTGACCCAAGATAAAAGAGCCTGAAATGGAGATTTTTTTTTTATTGGGGGGGGGGGGCAGTAACTTCAATAATTGATAGGAAGTCATTAGTAAAAAATATATATATATCAAAACTACAATGTACATAACAAGAATAAGGCTCAGAAAAAAGTTACATTCTTATCTTAAAATCCATATTGCAATTTGACATCCTATATGTATATTGTACATATATGTACTTGTCCCTGAATTTTAAAAGAGAGGTCATCAAGATTTCCCTCTCTTCTTTTTGTGACCTTTAAAGGTAATGCAGTGTTAGGAAAAGGGGTCAAATAACAAATTTTCTAAATCAATATCTATTTCATGTTTTTCTGAAATTTTCTTATTTTGGAGTACTAGTGAAACTGAGGGTAAAAACACATTCCATACAAGTTAATTTTATCAAGCCCATGTAATACTTATGTTGTGGTATTAAGATTATTAAGGCCATCTTTATCACCAAAATAAAACACATGATCACTTGGTAATGTTAGTATTTCAAGTTCCATCGTTAATGTATAACCAGTAAAATATTGAAAGGAATCATGACTTCTGTAGTATATCACATATGGTGAAAAATTATCCTTTATTGATAGAACAAATAAAGACCGTCTGTATCATCCAATAAATCAAATGCGAGAGGTAAAAACAAAAGATATCACATTCAAGGTTTGTAATGATACTTTACTCTTTCATTTACATGTAATGTATATATTTTCTGAACATGGATGGATACAAGAGGGAGTGGAGAGAGGGAGTGGAGAGAGGGAGAAGGAGAGAGGGAGAAAGAGAGAGAGAGAGACAAAAAGAAAGAGATGCAAGCTGGCACACATTGTATTTACCCAGATCAGTGGAAATAAGAGTGGAGAGCTTTTAACTCATCTAGCTTGTAGAGCTTTAGTGCTCCATCACAGAGAACAAGCCAGGCAGGCAGGCAGGCAGCCTGCTCTGTGCCCATGACTAATAGTCCAGAGTCATGACAACTGCAGTGTGCAAACAATGCTAAATGCAGAAGATATTTCTTACATGCATGCTGGAGTAATTGGAGGAAATATTAATCTCCATAGAAACAATGTGCTTCTGCTGACGTAAGAAAAGGCAAGATTGAGTGTCAATTTCACTCCCAACAAAATGTTTTAAGTACAGAAGAATTGATACTCTAATAAAAATCCATAGAAATATAATTTCTTCAAAAATGTCATGCATGTGTGCATTTTAAGAATCAACCTTTAGGAGATGTCAAAAGATTCAAACTTCATGGATACGTAGCCAAACAGTTCTATAGTATAGTGTTTAAATGTAAATATGACATATGTACATGTACAGTATGTTCAGCATTTTGGAGATTTAGGTTTTTTTTCAAACCTTGAACACTTTGGATACCGTATACATGTTCTGTTTATTTTAACTTAAATAATAAGTTTATCTAAAATTATTAAAAATAATTATCTTTCTTATTTCATCTTTAACTGTACTGTATTCTGCACTGATATACATTAGAGACTTCGGTGGTAAGCGCTTTATAAGTCACGTTTTTATTATTATTTATTATTTATCACGTATGGCTCTTTTGTAAACTAGCCAAGTATATGTTTTACCTAGAATGGGTTTTATCAATAAATCAACTGAATGATCAAGATGTAAATAAATCAATTGAATCATCATTGATCAATCAATGAATTAATCCCAATTCATTAGACAATACCTCATGTTCAGGAAGCCTTCAGAAAATTGATGTTTTAGGCATGAAACTATATTTTTAAGTGAACCCATCCCTTTTAATAAAATGAAATGTTCATTGCCTAGTGTTTGAAATATTTCCTAGTACCACAGCCCTTCCCTTCCGCATATAATTCTGAAAAAGTGAATTTACGTGAAGCAATAAAATTGAATAAACAGGCTCTTTTACCTGGCTTGTACACATACATTCATTCTCAAATCCTGTTGTGTATCCAGGCTACATGTACATGTACCTTTGATACAGTAACCTGTCATCCTATGTCTTCATTACAACATAAATGTAAATCTACTCCAAACAATGTTTCTCCCAATCACCTGGTTAAGAAGCTCGCCTCATATCCTGTATTGCTGAAAGATCAAATGACATGACTCGTTCCATTCAGGCAATAGCATGGAGTACATGTACATGGGCGGTACATCGGACCATGATGCTATGCTTGGCTATGTGCCATGTGATACTCAACATGATTCATATCATGCGCATATTTGTTGTTTCGAGAAATACTAGGAAAGGAAATATTAAATCTGTAACCATCTACAAGATTCATTTTGTCGGCCTCCTTGTTGTACTGCAGTTTTTAGTTATTACAAGCAATTTATGCCCAAAATGAATTTCCAAGGAAGGAAATTCTAGGAAAAAATGTATGTTTCTATCTCCAAAAAGGAAACAAAATTGTGATACATCATGCCAATTCCTGGAACGTGAAAAGGAATTTCATGTACAGGGCATAAAGCGAGCTAAAATTGATTAGTCTACCGCCAGCTTTCAATTTATTTAAATGAATTGGATTATATTCAAATTTGTTTTATTTTAAAGAACGATATTGCACTAAGTATCTGTCTGGTGAAGATGCAATTTCATGCTTCGGGATAATATCCCGAGTCTGAAAATAGCGGGTTATTTAGGAAGCTCGAGCTGATTAAGACGGGCCTAATGCATATGAATGGTACATAATGTACATGTACATGATGTAGAATATAAAGGGGACATGAATAACACAGACAGCATGACCCTACTGTCAGACTTTCCATGAAAAATGCAAGGTCTTGTGGCTTAAAGGATAAACTATACATGTCCCATTGTACAGTATGTACTGTATGTAATGTATATTTTCACACAATGGAACAAAGGAACATTCATGTGCGCATTGTTTGTATTGTCAGAGAAATCTCCTTTCACATATTGTGCAGCAAATAATATCTTGGCTTCCCAAAGTTGGTTGATATAACATATACATTAATTGATTCTATACCAGTCAGAGTCAATAAGCATTTCTTTGTGAGTCTTAAACTTGTATATACCTGTATGTATGTTACTCATGCAGCTATTGGCATACATGAATCTCTGTTTTACTTTATTTTTCAAATGCAGGCAACAGAATGCACACCTTTGCAGGGTGTTTGCAGGATGTTTGAAGGATGTTTGCAGGATGTTTGCAGGATGTTTGCAGGAGGAAAAGAGACATTTTAGTTGCAAGATACAACACTGTAACAGCAGAGAAAAGCAGGAGTAAGAACTTCCTTTGACCTTAGCTGCACAGATATTTCAAAAATGTAAAAGAATGGAAGGTACATCCAATAATGTAGGTCTATGTAGTGTTCAACCAAGGAGATTGTAAAATCTCCTTGGTTCAACATATCCAAAATCCTGATAATGATGTCTGGATCAGTGAAGCGAAGTATTTGCATCCTACATGTATTGTACATGGAGCTTGATTAACTCTGATTTCCTACAAATAAATTGACATTGCAGTTACATTTTTGTCCATTTCAGTTTTTTTTATACCTAAAATCAGCCAGTGTGTTTCTAAGAGAATTCACACAGGCAACTTCCGACTAGTGACTTGTTGAAAGATTTTTCTTTTCTGTCAGAGCTACAAAAGAATATGGCACAAAAAGAGCATAAATGAATAAAGCAAAAACTAAGCAAAACAAAGGCAAATCAAAAGTTGGAATTTACACACTTTGGTGAGAGCACACAACAAAATCAGGGAGAGAAGAAAACTTTACTAAGAGATCAATTCCCATAATTTTTTTTTCTTTAAATATGGGTTCTTTGTTGATATGCAAAATATTGGCTTTCAGCATTACTTAATGTCCTTATTTCCATAAGGACAAGGAAGTTAACTTTGAGTTAACTTCTTGTTGACTTCTGTGTGCACCCTAATATAACGTAATTGTTTTCCCTTAAGCACTCTAAACGTTAATGATTTCCCAAATAGTGTTATTTTGTTTATTTTATTATCTTGGGGGGGGGGGTGATTGTGTGTCTAAAGATTTGTCATTTTGTTTTCTTTTCTTTTTTTTTCTTCCTTTTGTTTATCGTATATTCTTTTAATTTTCTTGTCTGGTCTGTTTTTCCTTTTAATTTTTACTTCTGATTTTAATACATTCATTTCATTTTCCATTTTTATTTTATGTATTTATCTACCCTATTTATTATTATTGTTATCTTTTTATTTTTTGGAGGGGGGGGATAGTTACTTTTAAAGAAAAACAACAATTGAGGAATACAGACACCACGGCCACAAGCATGTACATATACAGGAAACAAAAAGAACAAAACACAAATCTTACCATTTCCTCATCTTCTGCCAGAACCAAATCATAGGCACTGAGAGCCACACAGAAGATGATTGCAGTCACACCCTCAAAACAGTGTATCCACTTCTTTCTCTCTGACCTCTGACCTCCAACATCAAACATTCTGCAAGATAAAATGACAAAAATGAAACGGCTTATTATAACAGTTATAAGAACATGACGGTTGTACGAAACATGCTCCTGCAACAATCACCCTACATGTATGCAGTCCATCATTCACGCTAATTGAATCTCTACCTTCAACCCTTGATCCAGCACCTTACTGTACCTTACCTTAACCCTAACTAACAACCAACTTGCCACCCTACCCCTACATCTTTGACGAAACACAGCCCGGAGCAATCATTACCAGAGCAAAAGTTGGATCACGGTAAATAGAATGGTGGTTCCTTTTCAATTGTATGGATGACATGTTAATTAAGCACTAGATATTGATATATTGAAAACAGATATCAAAGGGTAGGCTGTATTCATTTATAAAATAATGCATAAAATAGGTATAGGGCAAAGGAATGGTTCATATTAATGTATTGGTCTCATCTGACGAAAACTATATGCTGTATTCTACATGTTTTTTTAAAAAAATAGAAAAATTAACTGTGAGACACCATTAATAATCCAAAACTGTGAAAAGGGAGCAGTAGAGAAAACAGATATTTTTAAAATTCAACATGCGCTTTACTCCTGTCTTCATTATTGTCAAATTATTCATAGCCTGTATAACGCATCTTAGAAATAAAGCATTGACATTACCAATGCTTCCTTATAATTATTAGTCTCTAAAATGATGAAATATACTGTGTACATGTATATGGGAAAAACAAATAAATCACAAGTAACAGTTCCCTTGAGAATTCTTCGATTTCCTTTCAGCAATAAATGATACTACTAAAGCATGATTTACTGGGAAGGAGTCTTCTCTAATGTCTTCTATTATCATTTTTTTACTCTGAGAAAGAGAGAGTTTCACACTGCATGTGTTAGATGACATCTGCGACATGATAAATGGCTCATCCCCACATGGTGGTTATGACACCACGTGAGGCCAACTGCACTCTCGCCCCTATCATAGTCTACTATCTAGAGGGTCATATCATACTAAGGCCTCTCTAAACTCGATTACATCACAAAGGATGTACGGATATACAGGATTACATTTATGTACTAAAACAACTGCAGACTAATTTCAGGCATTGTCATAAATTTGCCTATCAACAACTTCACGAGACACAAATTAATTGCCTGGACGCATGGGGAAAAAACGTGCCATTAAAACGAAGACTAGCACTCCTGGTGTGGGTCCCTCCTACATTAGGAGGATTGGATGCTCCATGGGAATATTTATAGCTGCATCCACGCATCTATTGATGAGATTGGGGGCATGCTTCAGGTACAAGTGTAATAAAGGATTCAACGGGTAGGCTCGTCTCGGACGTGTAATTGAAAATTTAATAAATGATGATTTTTGTGAGGGGGTTGATCTTTGAAGCTTGACTGGATATTTGAACTTTTTTCATTTCTTTTAGCACTTCCTGTACTACTCTAACATTATTTGTTAAGTTGAATATGACTCGATGTCTACTGCAGAATGATTAAATCTGTTTAAAGGTTGAATAGTGGAGCTTGAAACGCACAGTTAGAATGCAGTCCAACACATGTATAGAAGCTGTGCAATCTCAATATCATACATTTGAACTATATTATCAGTCTTGTATTTCAGGTGTACCATTGGCTAATGTGGCAATTCTTATTTTCATTTTGTTTTGCTCGTTTATAATTTCACACCTGTTACTCCTAGCAATGTTTATTAAATAATCATTTATTTTTCTTCGATTACTAGCATAGACATAAGCAGTATACATGTAAGTACTTGAGAAGTTGAGAGCAATTAATTCAAATTCTCTGGATTAAAGATGGCAATGACAGTTCCTTCTTTTCATACACAGCAAGGGCATGAAGGAAGGCAGTAAATTAAAAACGGGATGCTGATCACTTCATTTGCCCACCAGCAACTCCACGCTTGGCTTTATTAAAGATAGTCTTTATTCATACTCTGGTAAGTTTGGCTCATTTGGGAGTGTTTAGGAAGGTCCACTAGAATATGCATCATGATGTCAAAACATGGAATATCTATTCATCACTTTATTTAATCACATTAGAAAAATATCACACAGATTCACAAGAACACTTTGGTTTGGTTTTGAAGTCAAAATATTACATGCACGAAAATCGGAAGTGAACACGATGACAAGAAATGTCTCTAAATGGAGACTACAGGTACGTGAGTCGGGTGACACTTGTTTCTAATAGGATACGTAACCTACAAGCATTGCGCAGTAAGGTAATGCATGACACGTCACCCTGATGGTACTGCAGATTGCCAATTGAAGGGCTTCTGCCTGGTGTAGGCTTTCCTGTACATTGACAACACCCTAAAATCTGTAACATCATATGAAATCTCTTACAGAGAATACTGTACCATGAAGTTGGTGAAAGTGTAATAATAATTTGTTAAGTTATAATTGACCTTGAGGGAATAGCAGTAATCATAGAATTTCATGCATTCAAGAGTGCAATATGGTACTAAGAATTTACCAGGGCATATTAAGAATATTTTAGCAAATATAACTAATATTAGGAATTAAAGGTTTTTAGATGTAACTTATGTCGTTATTGGAGAAGGATTTAATGTTACATTAACACATAAACCTTCTGGACTCACGCCTGTAACTAATGTACATGTTGTACAAATTGTACATGCAAAAGATGCTTTAGTATGAAGCAGCAATGCAGTATTTACATTCTTTGTTTCATCGTAGGAGGTTGATATACTCACTTGAAGTGAAGTTCCTTGAAGGTGAAATGCGTCTCTACGATACCAGTGGTCTTGACTCTTGTCCTAAGAACATCTTGTTGTGTAGGGATGTAACCAGGCGCTGACAACCGATCCAAGGCATTCAGGTAACTGAAAAATACAAGGACGAGCACAAAGACATAAAATAACAGATATCAATACATTGTATCTTCATGGCCCTTACTTCTTCTTTCTGATGAGCGAACGCAATCAACAAGCTGATTATTTTGTTACTTTTCAAAATGGGTGTCGTACATTTGCAGTAATTTGTTTTCTTGTTGAACTGATTTACTTATCTTGTTGAGGGTTTGAATCTAGCTTTAATATACCAGGTATTCAGATTAGACCATGATAAGTATACTGCAGAGTAAAGACATATTAGTAGCTAGTCACCACTCTGTTCAACCATCTACTTTTTAAAATTCAACATATTATTCTAATCTATACCAATCTAAAAACTGTCCTCTTTGTTCACAGGAGATCTTTGACGATTTGAACATTTTTTGTTGTTGAAGGATTAAGGGTTTTATTCTCATTCTTCTTCTGTCTTTCTTTTCAAAGAGTATTATCTGAGATTCAAGGATTGTCTGAAGCTTTCAAAAGCTAATTCTCTCTCCACTCCGGTGTGTTTCTTCCATTGCAACATACAATGTGGGCATGTTAAAGGTGACTGTTTTGGTGCCATGAAGCCTAATCATGGCAATATGGAAAAGCAATTTGTAGGGTCAAAACTGGTCATGCCCATCAGACATCGTGGGTGCACAAAGACAAAAAATATGAGACGACTGCCAGGCCCATGATCTTGGTTGGGTGATTTCCTCTCAATAATATACTTCTGAGTCTGACCAAGTTATGTCTTGAGTGATGATTTTTCTGTATAAAATGAACTGAGCACACCAGCAGTTGATACAAGGACACATGTATCTTTATCATATTTTCCCATCACGTATACAGTACATGTATGTAGGCTACTATTGCGAATTGCGATCTACATGTATAGATTTTATTTCCCAGGTTTTTTTTTTAATTCATCGTTCCCGAAACACTTACAGTAGTGGCAGCTCTGTTACATCTCATAACATACAGTACATTCAAAAAAGGGCATAATACTTCAAAACAAATTTGTTATTGTTGGTCCAAACATTAATATATAGTTTGTATTTGTCCATGTACTTTAGGCTGTAGCTTCTGTGGATTTATTATAAAATTATTGCATTAAATAATAAAACTGTTATATAAAACCCTGGTCACACTGTAAACAAGAATGACAACAGACTGACAAAAGAAATACATTACACTACATGTACATGCCAAAGATTTTGTTGGTTATAGACTTGGTTTGTTGTTGTGACTGGGGTACAAATTCAAGCACACATTCATATGTAGTATGCCAGTTATGCCTACAGTTATCTCTTGATTGACTTTCAGTTTCAGGGGGTGCCTTTACAGTACAGGTCTGACCAAATGTCATGAAAGCTATAATCCTGTCTATTATCTCCCATCCTACAAACCTCATGGCTGTAATCACATTACACTTGTCTCGCTAATACAATCAACAGACTGTCACTTGTGAGCATATAATCAAATTGAATAGCAGGATACAGGCAGTCATAATGCTTGGTAAGTGTCTTCAAATGTCTCTGAGCAAGGGTTGGAAGTATGTTGATGATTGAGTTAGCATACACATGATCCCATGAATCATTTTGCGCACAAAAAATGGTTGCAGAACAGCTAGATAGAATTATACCCCTTTTTTTAAACGTGGCACAACTACAACATGTACATGTACATTGTAGTTGGATTTCAAAATAAAAGAAATTTCATTAAACTTTAGATCATAATCTTATTAAATATAAAAGTGGAAAATTATATTAGGAAAATCTATTCTCCTTATAAATTAATATGTTTTAAATGGATCTTGGCTTTAACATTATTGAAAAACTAGAAATATTGTACATGTACAGTACATGTCCTGTATATGGAAATATTGAAAATTAGATACACGTACAATATTTGGTAACACTAAATGTGTGATTTCCATTTCTTTTTAAATACATATTTCAGAATTATGGTAAAAATACAGTCTAATACATGTAAATACATTTAATGTCAAGTCATCAAGCACATCTACATTTTATCAAAGGTGAAGTTACCAACAGTATAATGAACCTTGAGAGTTTCTGATACCTACATGTACACATCTACACTGTATATCTGTTTTTGTTTGAATTTTGTTTCATAAAACTGTTTAGCATATATCTTTGAAAATCAAACAGGAAGAAAGACATGTATTTTGTCCCATTGACTCTCTCTAACATTTGATATCATTATCAAAACAATGAAGCTTGTGAAACAACAGGTATCATATCAGTTTCTTTGTCTTTTCTCTCACTAGTACTTTCCCTTCAGTGTTCACCATCATGTTGACGAAAGCCATTAGTGGTTTCAGTTTCACCATCAATGTTCAGTTAATATGTGTGTAGATCTCTACTTTATTTTCCATCTGAAAATAATGATTCATGACAACAGCCTACCAGTATAAAAAATTTCTTTGGGAATTTGAAATTTCAGTGGGGAAAATGTAATTCTAGAAACGGGCGTGACAACTGTATCTACAGTGTACATGATTTCTTAAAGTAGATTGATTAAAAACAAACTTTATTTTCATTATTGCAAAGTTGAAACTTTAATTCGACAAGGTTATCAAAATTCAATGCTTGGAAACATTCGAAGAAGTGATTTTATAAATTACAAAACGCTTAAATTCAGCCCCGGCATAGCACCTGAAGAGCTCTCCGAACGCTGCTGAGATGTGTGAGATCACAGTATGGACATGACTTGCACAAGCAGACGATGTCCCATGACATCTCACACATATTCAGTGCCTGTGTTTTCATCTTCTCTTGAGTTCTTTCTCTTACTTCACTACCGTCAGGCTAAATGTATAATCTATTGCCTCACTCTAAACCCTGCGCATGGTTTTATTTTGATGACAAATGCAGCGATTCAAAAATAAAGGAATCTGTCGCTTGTAAACAAAATAAGACGCCATTGTATATTCAGCTGCACACACCGGGGTATGTTCGGCATTTCAGGAGGGAACAAATGCCGTCCTTAATACCATTCCGGGGGGTTTTCAATTTGAAAGTCTGGTTTCTTTGATTGTTAATTAACCCCTATCCTGTGTATTTACAAGCAAAAGATTTTAGTTATCAGAATCGGGTCATATCCCCTTTTGAATGGTTTGACATGCCATTACATTTATATACACTAAACTCATTATAATTTGAGAAATAATAGCTTTGCAATTATGTTCATTCTCTATGGGATGTCGTCTGCTTGGGCAGTGTTGGTCCATATAGTGACGTCATTAAAACATCGTTATTTTTCCGGCGAATCTCTCGTATATCCCAGCTGCTATGGAGGTGATTGTATTTGTATTTTTATAAATCACCCGATATGTAGTTGATCTAAAACTTGTCCGATGGCCATCTGTAAGCTTACCAGTTTCTAGTGATACATTAGTTGACATATTTGTGATCTTCTTTGAATTTCACCTTTAATTGTAAAACCTGAACAACAGATTATATTTCAATGGCTAGTATTAATAACGTTTTGTAGCTTTTAGGGTAATGCAATTTAGAAGTGACACAATGGAAATAGCTTACCAGTGATTCTGAAAGGCCTTCAGTCATTTTTGTAAATGCCTGTATATACAGAAACTTTTTTGCAGATGACATACATGTACAAACATATATCCTTATTTAGCTAAACATGTACATGTATACCTTCTAAAGTCTTTTATTTCTCTTCAATTTATGCCATTCTTGATACCATTACTACATCCAAAATGCCCAAATATAATACTCCTCCAGCAGGGAGCGTGGCCTCACATAAAACATGCATTTCACAAATCTTTTGAGGCTCAAAGTCAAACCATATTTGGTATTCTACATGTACATGAACATGTACAATACTAGTGACAGAGTGGATATCAAAAGCTTTTTTGTGTGTAATGCTTATTAAGTATCAATGTTTATTTTCTCTCTATTCATACATAAACTAAATTAATAGCAGGAATACATGCACTACTTGTTAATTCTAATTTGTATCATTTAGTATTCTTTATTGAATAGAGTGGCCTGGGAGGTGCCTTACAGGTATGAAGTGAAATCTGAACCAATTACACAAAACTTGTTGAATCATAAGATTATTAATTTATCATTTGTGTAATATTTCTAAGGTATATTGTTTAATATACTGTAATCAAACAAAACAATAATAAATTCAGAATTTGCATGAGTGCAATTATTAATATATGCAAGGCCACAGACCAAAGTTGAATCAAATTGCACTAATAAAAATTCTGAATTTGGAGGTAAACTGTCATGTATAATGACATTGCATGCAATAATTGTATAACATGAGGGTATTTGCAGCTACCAATTGACCTCCAGTGTCTAAAACAAACAAAAAGACAATCTACATGTTAAACAATGGATGCACGCTCTGCTAGTACCAGGCAAAAATATAAAATTCAAAATAAAATTGCAAGTGATTTCAATTCAGCCAAGTAGAAACCGAAAAAATTAAAAATGTAAATGTATGGGTTTTTTTTGCCTAATTATATTACAGAGTTGTAGAGTACTGTAAAGTATTGTATAATGTTCTGCTCCATGAAGTTACATTGTAGTCTACAAAAATATAGAGTGAATATGGAAGAAAGAAGTAATTTGGTCGTCAAAAACTTTTTCAAACATGAGCTGGGGAAAGTGTCAATGTAAAGATGTGCACTGAAACTGTGAAAAGATCTAGAAATTAATTATTTTACTTTGAATGACAAATTCAAATTGAGAGGGGGAAAAAGCAATAAATTTTGAGTCCTGATGATGCAGATAAAAGAGGAAGTGATGATTTTACTGATTAACAATTTTACTCTTTAACAATTTTACTCTTAACCTCACCAATTTCTCAATCTCTAAACTAAAAGCTTCCTGTTTACCCAAAATAAACTGATATTGTCAATCATTTATCAAGCATAGTCCAGGCCTTAAATTAATCGACGGCCATCGACGGCCAGGCCGTCGATGCCCCTATGACTGGCCGCGGTGCCCTCCCAAAAAAAGATAAATTCACGGCCAAAAAGGCCGTGCCCTTTTTTTCAAACTGGCCGACGTGCCTTTTTTCCAACTGGACGTGCCCTTTTTTTTTTAAATTTGCGCACATAAAACCACCAATTGCGCTTAAAACTAGACGGCAAGGCGCAAGTGTTTTCCGTGAAAATGCGCCCATAAATTATTAGAACAGAAAAAATTCACGAATCACGAACAGTTTGCCGCCCACGAGCTCTCTTCTAGCTTCGTATTTAGTGCTTTAATAAGGCGCAAGTGCCGTGAAAATGCGCCCTTTGTTATTATATAGGCAATGCGCTAGCGCACGTACGTTCATGCGATCGCATATGCATATGGTGCATGTTGTTGACGCACGCACGTACGTACGTACAAATCAAAGGCCAGGGTGCAGGATCAAGAAAACAAATCGTCAAATGGAGAAATAAACAAGCATTCAAATAGTCATTAGAGATCTGTCGAGGTTTGTTTGTAGGTCTAGTTTATTATTTTATCTCAAATAGAATTTAGAATCATCTTATTAATAAGTTAAGAACACCTACGATGTTCTCGATCGTAATTACTCTCATTTTGCCACCAGCCGACCTCGCTTCAAAAAGCTACCCCGCCAGCCTCCCAAGACGAACGTTTCGAGTCCCGGTAAAATTACGCGCTGCGAGTCTCCGAGGGTGCATCGGTTTCGCTGGCAAACTTCCAGCCCGACAGCTTCCCACCAAAAGTGGCGAGAGTGTGTGTGCGAGGAACGATTTTGGTTTCGTGAATGCACGTTACGCAACTGAGCTGAGCGTGTCATTTTCAGCTGTCGAATGTCTATAAGGACATTTTTACATCTTATTTCATTAGTTAGGCCTATCTAGACCTTTCTATACAACAGTTAAAAAGATAATTTCTTCAAATTTGCTCCTACTACCGAGAGAGTGGCGGAAGGTTTGTGTGTGAGGTGCGATTTTGATTTGGGATACCCGGCCCGGTAAACTTGCCAAGTCCTTCTGACTTTCGATGTTTGTGAAATTGACAATTTATTTATTCATTTGCTCATCAATATTTTTAGTTACTTTAGAATACTGTTTAATGTGCAAGTTTAATGTTCTTAATCAATCTTTCCTGTTCATATTGTTAAGATTAAAAAGTTATTAAATTGATCGTTCGATCTATTCACATTATGAAATTAACAACTCTCTTTGAACTTATGATTAGATAAGGGGCCTATCTGTTTTTGGAAAATTGCCCCTTGCTCTGGTAAATTCCTGTGGCAAAGGGCGACTTAAAAAAAAAATTGCCCCTTGCTCCTGGCTGCTAAATCTAAGGGTTGCGGGCCGCCGCCTTGTTTGTATGTACCGTAGACCTCTATACATTCTGTGAAGAAGCTGGTGCTAAAAGTCATGGGAAATTGATCCCACACAAGTTTCATAAAATACACATGACATCTAACAAAAGTAGAAACAATTTTTTTGGCCTCATACTCGATGCCCTTTTTGTAAAATATTTTGGCCTCGATGCCCTTTTTGTAAAAATATTTTGGCCTTGGTGCCCTTAAAAATATGAGGTACTCGAGGCCAAACTGGCCTTGCCCTAAAAATGACGAAATTTAAGGCCTGATAGTCGCACATGTACATTAAAGCTTAGAGAGGATACTTAACTCTCAGAAAGTTTGTTGGATGTGTTATTTGATTTCTATTTTGCTTCCTCATTACGTTCTGTTTCTGGTTTTGATTGCTACGCATTATACAACCCCTTCACAATATAAAAGATATTACACTTGTTAACAAGTTTTGATCCTGATTAGAAAGACTAATTAAAGTACAAGGATATGAGCTCAGTCATAACAGATTGGGAAATATGACAAAAAGATTAGATAAGAATGAGAAAAATAACTAGAGAAAACACACAAAAAACTTAAATGTTGACCATCGTTAAATGAAAACAAAGCCTAGCTTTCACTTTAGATGGGCTTCAAAACCTACATGTACTATACAAAGTTCTATAATTATTTCTAGATTGATTACAAAGCTTTATAATGTTTAGTAAAACCAGTCTTAGCGACCACCTGTCTATAACAGCCACTTATACCCCCCCCCCCCCCCCCCCCCCCGGTGAGATATCATGTACCGGTATTTAAGGACATGTGCACAATGACCACCTGCTTAAAGAGACCAGCAGCCACTCATTTTGCTTCTGCTGGCCACTGAAAAAATACTTTATCCTTTCAAGGGAGCTATTTTGAGATTTACTCAAGGAAGAATGGATTACCTCCCCCCCCCCCCCCCCTTTTTTTTTTTCTTCTTTCCTTGAGCTCTTTAACAGCTTACAAATGCTACATGTAAATCACTAACCCAGAAGTCATTGCAACTGAAAAAGATTAGTATACATTATGTACATGTACATGTTCAGTATGTACCATGTATTTCACCAGAAATTCACAGACTATGAACCTACACGTAATCCCAAGACATGCACACTGCTGTCTCTTCCTCTAGCCAATCTATCATGCAGATTAATTAAAGCTTATAAATCTACTTTAATGTGAAGGTTATTGTTGTTCCTATGTTCTGCTGGTACATGTACTGTGTAGCTACCTAGTAGCTAGTAATGTATTCAGCAAACAAACATTTTCACAGATGACTAGGACAAAGACATTGACCCCCCCCCCCTCAAGTTGCTGAATTTGCAAGAATTCACACAAGCTATGTACATGTAGTTACATGTACATACATGTTCATGTTTATTCACAATGTATGCATAGTCAGCTCATTTAAACAAAAAAACAGCTACATGTAATAATAATAATAATAATAGTAATAATTTTGTTTACCCAAAGAAACTTTATTAGCATTAATGCTGTTCTTCCCGGGGACCCTGCAATTATATTTACCCCAGCAATTGCCAGTTACCCATTTACACCTGGATGGAGAGAGGCAGATGTGGATTAATGTCTTGCCATAGGAGGTTAGTGCCAGGATGGAACTCAAACCCTCAAACCTTGGATTGAGAGACGAGTGAATGAATCACTATATCATGACACCTCCACAATGAACCACCACAATGAACCACCACACCTCCACATGCAATACTTACTATGATGCAGAATCGTTGAGTTGATACTCCCTGGACCGGCTAAAGCATGCTTGGACACCTGAGTCTGCCCATAACCGCTTCATAACCGCTGCTAGTTCAGTGCTGAGTTCACCTTCTTCTGCCTGCCCAGCCAGGGCAAATAATTGCCTTGCATCATCCTACAAGAAAACAAGAAAATTATACCAGTTAAGAAAAAGGAATAAATGAAAATTGAATAAAACACTATACATTACAATGACAATCCTGTTCAACATCAAACTTGTATTAAAACACATACTGTAACACATACAAATAAAATACACTGTCAAAAGCATAATATTTCTACATGTACATGTACAAAATGTAAAGAAAATTAGTCCATCTCATCAAAAACGGGGGCATCTTTTATAAAGTCACAAAAAAAAAAAGTAAATACAATGTACAATGTCAGTTTCCAAACCAGTTATTTCAGTTCATACAAAAGGGCTATTCAATTGAACAAAACAAACAAAAAATCCATCCATAAAACCAACTCTCTCATTGTGTGGTGTCTGAGGCCAACAGGGGCTGAAAACTATTAAACACTCCAATATACAAAGAGATTGCATTTCAACTATTCAAATTCATTGTTAATCATGGAAGATGTAGGTTAACATGTACATGTATAGAACTTGTTGGAAAAAGCAAACCGTTAAGGCAAACAAATGTCATTCTTACATGTACAGTACATGTACATACAGTAAATACATACACTGTACATGTACAAATAGTCAAATACATATGAACAGCACATAGATAAAGGCAAAAATACTGATCTGTCACCTGTATTAAGTGTATTTATAGTATAATTGTTGCAATTATGTAAAAGGGCAATCTCGAGGTAGTAGATTATAAGCCACAGGAAGTTTTACTATGTTCAGAGTATGTTTATTTGCTTGAAATAAATAGCAAAATTTACATGTACTGTACATTACATGTACATGTTGTAATTAGAAAAACAAAACCCTTTAAATATATTCCCTTTGGGTAAGTCATACAAATCAAGTCATACATGTAGGACAACTAATGGATACATAAACATCTACTTGTAAATGTACACGTGACATTGTATCCAATAGCCCATCCCTTCGTCATATCATGGACCTACTTCTTAGTAGGTCCATGGCTATATCAACTTCAAGGCAAACTTGGGGTGCGTTTAATCGACACTTTTTCACCCTAGAATCACGGTTTCTAAAGACGTTTAGTTTAAAACGCAATGCGTTCAAGCGATTTTTTCGTCGGTCGTAAAAATAAACGTCTTTGAAAACACAAACATGAAACGCTGAAAAAGATGCGTTTTGAATCATGATTCTGCAGAATCACGGTCGCTAAAATTCGATTGAACGGACGGAGTTTTCAATCATGATTGTATGACGGAGCCTGTTCCGGTTTGGGCAAAAACCGCGCGCCTGCTTTTCATGCAATTTGCGTTTACTATACCATGCTCTTTATTGTGGCCTGTTCCGTTATGTATACCTTGTTTTCCTTCTATCTTTTTCTCTTTCTGTCTTTCCTTATGTTATTCTTTGTTTCTTCCTTCTATTCTTATGTTATTCTTTGTTTTTTTCTTCTATCAACTTCTCTTATGTTATTCTTTGTTTTTATAATTCTATCACTTTCTCGTTTGTTATTCTTTGTTTCTTCTTTCTATTTTTAATGTTAATCTTTGTTCTTTTCCTTCTCTCAGCCTTTCTTATGTAATTCTTTGTTTTTATAATTCTATCACTTTCTCGTTTGTTATTCTTTGTTTCTTCTTTCTATTCTTATGTTAATCTTTGGTTTTCCCTTCACTCACTTCTCTTATGTTATTCTTTGTTTTAATCATTCTATCACTTTCTCTTTCTGTCTTTCCTTATGTTATTCTTTGTTTCTTCCTTGTATCACATTCTCTTTTTGTCTTTCATTATGTTATTCTTTGTTTCTTCCTTTTATTCTTATGTTATTCTTTGTTTTTTCCTTCTATCACCTTCTCTTATGTTATTCTTTGTTGTTATAATTCTGTCACTTTCTCTTATGTTATTCCTTGTTTCAATCATTCTATCACTTTCTCTTTCTGTCTTTCCTTATGTTATTCTTTGTTTCTTCCTTTTATTCTTATGTTATTCTTTGTTTTTTTCCTTCTATCACCTTCTCTTATGTTATTCTTTGTTGTTATAATTCTGTCACTTTCTCTTATGTTATTCTTTGTTTCAATCATTCTATCACTTTCTCTTTCTGTCTTTCCTTATGTTATTCTTTGTTTCTTCCTTGTATCACATTCTCTTTTTGTCTTTCATTATGTTATTCTTTGTTTCTTCCTTTTATTCTTATGTTATTCTTTGTTTTTTTCCTTCTATCACCTTCTCTTTTGTTATTCTTTGTTGTTATAATTCTATCACTTTCTCTTATGTTATTCTTTGTTTCAATCATTCTATCACTTTCTCTTTCTGTCTTTCCTTATGTTATTCTTTGTTTCTTCCTTCTATTCTTATGTTATTCTTTTTTTTTTCTTCTATCACCTTCTCTTATTTTATTCTTTATTTTTATAATTCTATCACTTTCTCTTTTGTTATTCTTTGTTTCTTCCTTCTATTCTTATGTTAATCTTTGTTCTTTTCCTTCTCTCAGCCTTTCTTATGTAATTCTTTGTTTTTAATAACTCTATCACTTTCTCTTTCCGTCTTTCCTTATGTTATCTTAGTTTCTTCCTTGTATCACTTTCTCTTTTTGTCTTTCATAATGTTATTCTTTGTTTTTATAATTATTCTATCACTTTCTCTTTTGTTATTGTTTGTTTTAAGCATTCTATCACTTTCTCTTTCTGCCTTTCCTTATGTCATTCTTGTTTCTTCCTTATATCACATTCTCTTACGTTATTCTTTGTTTTAATAACTCTATCACTTTCTCTTTCTGTCTTTCCTTATGTTATTTTTTGTTTCTTCCTTCCATCACCTTCTCATTCTTTGTTTTATTATTGCGATCTATGCTCAAAACAGCAGTCGACAGTCGGCCGTAAACAATTCCAAAAAGCGCGCGCCGAAGTTGACCTTTACTTCCTGGGTCAAACTTTAGTGTGATCCGCAGTGGCTGGGCTCGAAATGAGCTAGAATCAGCGTTGATAAAAAAAATCGCTTGAACGCTAACCGCAGTGACCTTGTTGTTTGTAATGGCGTTTTGATTTGTGATTCATGTTTGTGATTCTAGCTTCGAAAATTCGATTGAACGCACCCTTGGACTCTGATCCACAAAACAGTTAATTATCTTTTCTTGCTTTGCTCTATCAACTAGTCTTCCCTAAATCAATGTTTATACTTCCAGCTAAGAACAAAGAAGTCAGGGCAAGAATTCCTCCTGGTCTGTATAAAAACCAGTTAGTTATCTATAAAACTTACACGTACATGTACATGTACAAAGCATTAAGGAAATGGACTATACTATGTAAGCACATACACGCTACAGTACAAGTCTACAAGTGTAATGGCTTTAATAAAAACAAGATTGGTTTAATTTGGTTGCCTCTTTATTTTCTATGGTGCACTTTATGCAGCACACATAAGTAAAGCCGAAAGATAACTAAAATTTGCCTGACTTTAATACACACATTGTAATGCACACATACATGTATGTACATGTACATGTCCAGAGCTTTCTTCTTTCTGTTTATGAAACTTTACAAGAGTAGTACAACTCCATCCCTCTGATATACCTTTTATTTGTACTTAATTTGTTGAGTGAAAATAAAATATCATCATGCTTTTTATCTTTGTATTTATAAGAACATTAAGGTAGTAATGTACATGTACTACCATCAGTATCCTCACGAGTTCCCCCCAACTCGCTTTGCAATTTCAAATGCAGTATCATGGACATATTGAGTTAAAAATAAAATGGCGAGGAGTCCATGCCTGCATATTGGATTCACCCGGCATGAATTTGCATGCATGAGTACGTAGATTCTTCTCTAATTGCACCTTGGCTACATGTAGCGCTGCATCGACAAACCGTCTGTGCATTAAGCAGATGAACTTGATCCTATCCCCTCTCCTTTCAATTTCACACAATTTGCATCAGTCGGGACATTTTCCAAGCACCGTCAAAGCTATTCCATGTTACTCAGACTCTCTGAGATTTACCACACAACCCTTTCTACATACTTGAGGTATAATGCTTGGGATAAAGCAAAGACACAGTGTACATGTAAGAAAAAGAATAATTCAGTATTCAATTATTCAGAATTATAAACCAACCATGTACGTGTAATATTCATTTTTGCTTTAATTTGAAAGTCTTTGAAAATGTGCAGTGCAGTCTTTGAAAATGTGCAGTGCACTCTTTGCACCCCACTCAAAACACTTATACAGTAATTGTGCACACATGCATGTACAATGTACTATACATGTAGGCCTACTATATTTAGTTACCGGGTACATTTATTTGTTCAGGCTCCCTCAAAAACTACCTGAATAAGATCTGCTAAATTAATAATCTTAAGTCAATTTGCTGATCAACTTATTTCTGCCAACTAGTTCAGTTTTCTCCCATTTTATTTTCTTTCTTATAAATTACTTACAGTACATGTATAAGATTTGCTATATAATGCAAACTACAGTATTCTGTATGTAGATGACCAGGAAGTGCACTTTATACTCCCAGGAAATGTGGCCTACTATCAGCATAACTATTGCGTTGGTTAGTATCAGTCTATATAAGGTCTGCCCTCTTGTACTACAGAAAGGCATGGACTATATCAGTACATGTGTTTCTCTTAATAATTAATATTTTCAACAGAAGGAAACCTCACAATGTGTGTTCCAAATATGTTCTTACATCGATCAATCACTGCAATTCATACATGTGAACTTAGACATTTCAATACAAAAACAAAGGCCTTGCATTATAATATTAATATTAGTTGTCATTACTCATCATCAATCCACACAGTATGTCATCAGTCACATTTGAAAATGGACTCACCATCTGTGGTTCCTGGTCAACAACAAAAATTGGATGTATATGATTTGTTGTTTATAGGACACTGTATGCATGTGTGCAGTAGGTAAATACATGTAGTACAGAGTTATTTATTAGAATGTAGAACAAGCAAACTCCATTGTACATGTATAGATATAAAATTATGCTTCGTCACAGGTTTATATTG